AGGCATGGTTGGCCAGCTCCTGGGGCTGCCAGACCCCTCTGTGTCACCTCCTGCCCTGCCAGACCCCTCTCTGTGTCACCCCAAGCCCTTCCAGACCTCTCTCTGTGTCACCTGGAGCACACCTAGCCCTGCCAGACTTCTCTGTGTGTCACCTGGAGCACCTCCTGCCCTACCACACCCCTCTGTGTTACCTGCCCTTTCAGACCGCTGTGTCACCTGGAGCACCTCTTACCCTGCCAGACCCCTCTGTGTGTCATCTCCAGCCCTGCCAGACCCCTCTGTGTCACCTCCTGCCTTGCCAGACCCCTGTGTGTGTCACCTGGAGCACCTCTTACCCTGCCAGATCCCCCTCTGTGTCACCTTCTGCCCTATCAGACCCCTCTGTGTGTCACCTCTGCCTTTCCAGACCCTTCTGTGCGTCACCTTGAGCACACCCAGCACTGCCAGACCCCTCTCTGTGTCACCTCCTGCTCTTCCAGACCTCTCTGTGTGTCACCTGGAGCACCTTTTACCCTGCCAGATCTCTCTCTCTGTCACCTTCTGCCCTATCAGACCCCTCTGTGTGTCACCTTGAGCACCCCTAGCCCTGCCAGACCCCTCTGTGTGTCACCTCCTGCCCTGCCAGACCCCTCTGCGTCACCCCAAGCCCTTCCACACCCCTCTGTGTGTCACCTGGAAGACCCCAGCACTGCCAGACCCCTCTATGTGTCACTCCCAGCCCTTCCAGACCCCTCTCTGTGTCACCTCCTGCCCTTCCAGACCCCTGTGTGTGTCACCTTGAGCACACCCAGCACTGCCAGACCCCTCTGTGTGTCACTCCCAGCCCTTCCAGACTCCTCTGTGTGTCAACTCTTGCCCTGCCAGACCCCTCTCTGCGTCACCCCAAGCCCTTCCACACCCCTCTGTGTGTCACCTGGAAGACCCCAGCACTGACAGACCCCTCTCTGTGTCACCTCCTGCCCTTCCAGACCCCTGTGTGTGTCACCTTGAGCACCCCTAGCCCTGCCAGACCACTCTGAGTGTCACCCCAAGCCCTTCCAGACCCCTCTGTGCGTCACCTTGAGCACACCCAGCACTGCCAGACCCCTCTGTGTGCCACCCCAAGCCCTTCCACACCCCTCTGTGTCACCTGGAAGACCCCAGCACTGACAGACCCCTCTCTATGTCACCCCCTGTCCTTCCAGACCCCTCTGTGTGTCACCTGGATCACCTCTTGCTCTGTCAGACCCTTCTCTGTGTCACCCCAAGCCTTTCCAGACCCCTCCGTGTGTCACCTCCTGCCCTGCCAGACCCCTCTGTGTCACCCCAAGCCCTTCCAGACCCCTCTGTGTCACCCCAAGCCTTTTCAGACCCCTCTGTGTCACCTGAACACCCCCAGCCCTGCAGCCCAGGCCCCTGCCCTACCTGAGCCAGCTCCAGGAACACGAGCACGTCCCCATCGATGTCCACCATCATCTGCGCCGCCTCCATCAGCCCGGTGACCGTGTACTGCTCTGCACGGGGGGGGGACACACGGGCTCAGGGGGTGGCTGGGACAGGTGACAGCCACCCTGCCACGCTGCAGCCACCCAGACTGACCTGTGAGAGCCACCAGGTGCGGCAGGCAGAGGCGGTTGGCGAGGATGATGAGCTTCATGTCGTCCAGGTCGGGGCTGGAGCTGAACTGCCCCGTGTACAGGTACTCCAGCACCGCCCGCATGCAGCTCTTGCTGGTGTGAGGGAGTGCCACCTGCCAGACACACGCATTGTCACCTCCTGGCACACGCTGTCACCTCCCCAGCCGTGCCACCCACCCGGGGCGCTCTCCTCACCTCGTTGGTGGAGCTCTCCACGAAGGGGCCGCCGAACATGGCGGCCATCCAGTCGCAGCTGGAGATGAGCAGGGGCTTGTGGGCACTGATAGCACCGTCATCCAGCACGAAGGTGACATCTGGGGACAAGCACAGGGGCGCTGCTGGCACCTGGGGCTCAGCCACCAAACGCCTCNAGCCAGGGCTCTGTGTGTTGCAGTAGCTGTATTGCAAATCCATGCAGTGCTTAGTGACAAAAGGGCTCTGCTCAGCCCCCCAAATGCCCCTGCAGCTGCTCCCCAGCCCCTGCACTAAAATTCCATGTTCAGGAGCGTGGGGCTGGGTGAGAAGCAGGAGCTGCTGTTGAGCTGCCCGCAGGGTTCGTGCCCTGTGGGCATTGCCCTGTGCCCCCTGAGCATGCAGACCTGGGCACATGCAGGTTCAGTGCCAGGGCTCGGTCCCGGCCTGGGCAAGGCAAACAGGACTCAGAAGCAGCGGTGAGTGCCCAGGTTGTGTGGAAAGGACAGAAAGTCGTGCTCCTGCCTGCTGGCCGGGGCTGCCAAGGGTCACAGCAGCGAGGGTGAGGAGCCCCCTCGCTCCTGCAGCGAGGCTGAGGGCGGCCATGCACAGGGGAGGCTCCGAGGAGCAGAGTGGGGTGGGAAGGGACACCTCCAGGAGCATCCCTGGTGCTCCTCCAGCAGCAGCCTCGGCAGGGATGGGCCCCAAGGAGCTTTGCCCATCACAGCTGGGGAGGGCGAGGAGGTTGGCAGCCCTGGCAGCCCTGCAGGTGGGACAGGCAGAGTCAGTCCGATGGAAGTCCACCTGGTGCTGCACCAGGGGTGGGTCCTGCCAGGCCTGGCTGTCCCTGCCCGTCCCAGGAGCGCTGCAAGGCGGGGATGGCATCACCCCGGCCTGGCACAGGGGGGTGTGCCTGTCCAGCTGCTCCTCCCACACACACAGGGACCACGTCGGGCTTTTAAAATACCATTTATTACAATGGAGCCTTCCAGGCTAAAATCCCCAGCCCAGGGCTCGGGGTTGGTTTCTGGTGTGGCAGATTGAGGGAGTGGGTTTGGGTTTGGGGTTTTTTTTTGCTTTAAGTTTCTGTCTAAACAAAACTGGAGAGTTAAGAACAGGGAGGAGAGGACTCTGGTCCTCTCCATGCCCTGAATTAGGACAGACCCCACTTGCAGGGGAAATCCTGCAGTGCCTGGAGGCATTTGGGGACCGGGGTCCCCTCCTTGTGCCTGACCCTGCTGTGAGTCCAGGGGGGTGGCAGGACCCCCACGGTGGCTCCAGGTGGCGAGATGCCATCAGACACCCCAACCACATCCCAGAGCTTCTGGTTCCAAATCAAAGTGGAAGCTGGATGTGTTTCTTCTTTTATCTTCATCTTCTTCCTCCTCATGCTGACGATGCTCCGAAAAACAAAACCGATTTCCAACGGAAATTCCCCATGAGATGAAACCACAGCACAGCCCCGGTGCTGCTGTAGACGCCAGTTCCTGCTGCTGCTGCTGCTGCTGCTGCTCGGGCTGTGCCGCTCCTGCCGCGGGGAGAGNCCCCTTTCCATGGGGAAATTCCTGCTGTGTCCACCCTGAGCTGCCCTGAGCCCCCTTTCCATGGGGAAATTCCTGCTGTGCCCACCCTGAGCTGCCCTGGCCCAGCCTGAGGCCGTTCCCTCTGCTCCTGTCCCTGTGCCCTCCTGGCAGGAGCTGGGCAGAGCCACAAGGGCCCCCTGAGCCTCCTTTGCTCCAGGCTGAGCCCCTGCCCAGCTCCCTCAGCCTCTCCTGGGGCTCCCTGTGTGTTCAGAGTTTCCCTTTCCCTTCAGGTACCCACCTTATCAAGGAGTGTGAGGAGCAGGGAGGCTCCAGCACGTGTCAATCCTGTGGACCCGGGGAATACATGGAATATCCCAACACCTTCCCATCGTGTCAGGAGTGCTCCAAGTGCAGGGAAGGTACGAGCTGGGGGAGCAGGGCTGGGTCCAGCTGAGCTCTCTCAGGGCCCAGTGTCACCTGCAGTGTCCCCAGAGGATGGCTGGGGGTGCCACATGTATTAAAGGCCACATCCCTCATGCAAAGCTTGGCCTGAGACTCCACACAGAGCAGGAGGATGAGGCTCCCAGCAGCACTGGCAGCTGCTGGTGGAGTTTGATGCAGGCACTGCTTTTCCCCTGTGGGGCAGGAAAAGCTGGCACTAACAGCAGGGAAGGACCTGGTCCTGCCTGAGGTGGAGCCAGGGTGGAGCTGTGTCCCTTCTGTCCCACAGATCAGGTGGAGCTGAGCCCCTGCCAGCCCCAGAGGAACACGGTGTGTGCCTGCAGGAACGGCACCTTCTGCCCCCCGGAGCACCCCTGTGAGATGTGCCAGAAGTGCCAGCCCAGGTGGGTCAGGGGCTGTTGGGGAAGATGGAACAGGAAAGCCTTATAAATATGATTGTCTGGCAAAAGATTGTGAGAATATGGAAACTATAAGTGAGATTGAAATGAAAGCAAACTTTGAGATCCCTCAGTTACTGAACAACTGGAAAACAATGGTGTGGCTGGCTGAAGGTGATCCCCTTGTGATGGAACAACACCCTCTGNGGAAGAATTTTGTTTCTTCTGATAAGAGGGCAATAAATTCTTTTTCTCTGAAAGATTCAGGTGTCCTGTGGCTGCTATTTTGCTGCAGGTCCTTTCTTTAAAAAAAGTATCCTACTATCTTTTCTTTAAAAAGAACTATTTTTTCTTTAAAAAAACTATCCCATTGCATAGTTTTTTTAGTTTTTAAGTGACAACAAGTTTTTTTAAGTGACAACATAGTTTTTTTAGTTTTTATAACCTAAAACTATAAATGTAGTTTTAGGTTATAAAAAATGTTACAATAGAAAATATCCCATAGTTTCTATTGTAACATTTTTTATAACCTAAAACTATATTTAACACACTACTTAAGAGAATTAATACAGCATTACTTTCTAACACAGCACATATAATATCCATTAAAATATTTGCAAAAAGCCGATCATAAAACACGCATTTTTCACAGTAAAGAAATAAAATCCTGTGGCTGAGGGGCCCTCCCAAACTGCAGAAAACGCTGTGGTGTGGCTGTGATCACCCTCACAGTGTGGCAGATTTCAGGTGGGGAAGAAATATGGATTTTTTTTCCCCATGGAAGAGATAAATTGTCCTTTCACTCCCAGGATTTCCAAAACCAGAATGGGTGAAGCTGTTGCGGCTGGAACTCCTCAAGTGGATAAAAAAGTTTACAAACTTGCAAACGTTCCTAGCTGGGGGAAAGAGGAGCAGAGGCAGATCCAGCAGAGCCAGAAGGTGTTGGAGGGACATGGATTTGATTCCTTTTGAGTCAGGGTCAGGAGCTGGCCCCGTTCCTGGTCTGGCCAGGGCTCTGTGGCCTGGTCGTGTTGGGTGTTTGTCCTTAAATTTTAACTTTCACATTTTTCAGACTCTGTGCTGCCCAGGTGTGCAGCTCTGAGCTTCATGTTAAGTGGGGCTCTCTCCACAGAGCAGCTAGACAAAACAACTCCTCGTCTAGCCAAGGACAACCCATACAAGTTTCAGGCCCAAAAACATAAACAATGGTGAACTGAGAGAAAAACAGAAATGATAGGACTTTGTAATGCAAAGATTGGACAGTTAACTCCAAAATGCTAATGGACCAAAACTTATAAAATTGAGAGACCTCGTGACTGGTCGTCCATTTTGTGACCACTTTGCTTCATCTTGTGTGCAGCCCTGGCTGGGCTCTCGTGCTGCCCAAGGTGCATCCACTGAGGATATTCTTTTTATAAATCCCTGCTTTATTTTTCTGTTCAGCCTTCCCAAGGCATGGGCCTGGCTGGTGTAAGGTGGTTTGTGGTGTCACCATCCCCGTGACCTTTCCAGTTCAGCCTTTCCTGTGGCGGGAAGCTCTGGAGGAGGAGGCAGGAACACTCCATTGTTTCGGTGTTCTAGGCAGCTTCTGACTCATGGCAGAAATATTTGCTTTAAATTCACCCTCCGTGTTGGGGAGGGGAGGGGAGAGAAGCGTCTGTCCTGCCACCCTGGTGTGAAAAATGCCAATCGCTTGTTTTTAAAGTTTTAAAAGTTTAATAGTAATAAAATGGCTGTAAAAATAGTAATACAATTGGAGTAATAATAATTTGGACAATTTGAATTAGGGCAATATGAGACAACAAACACAAAGAGTTACGGATGTCCGGGTACCTTTTTCTGGGCAGCACGAGCCCGAAAAAGGACCCACGTTAACAGAGGACTGACCCTTAAAAGCAACAGCCTGTTGCATATCCATACACCTCATACATGATGCATAAATTCCATTCAAACACAGGATTCTGTCTGATCATCATCAATTTCTTCCTCAGAATCCTAACAGAGCCTTTGAGATGGGAAGAAATTTGTTTCTTGTGATAATGGAGCAATAAATTATTTTTCTCTGAAAGATTCAGGTGTCCTGTGGCTGCTATCTCACTGCGAGTCCTTTCTTTAAAAAAAGTATCCTACATAGCATCATTTCTATTTTAACAATTTTTATAACCTAAAACTATATTTAACACAGTACTTAAGAAAATTAATTGCTTTAATTACAACATTACTTTCTAACACAACACATATAATATTCATTTTAATATTTACGAAAAGCCAATCATAAAATACATGCATTTTTCACACTGGTGAGCTTGGGGCAGCTCTATATCCATGGATATCCAGCTTTATATCCACGGAGCAGCTCTGTGCTGGCTCAGAGGCTGATGGGGTTGTCCCTTTTGGGGACATTGAGGTGCCCCAAAGCCCAGGGGGACAAATGGCCCTTCCTGCAGAGCATTGTCCCCATCAGCGTGGAAGGATCTGAGGCAGCACAAAAAGGGTGTGGAGAGCTGAGGGAAATGTGACTTTTCTTCCTGATCCTCAGCAGAATAACAGGGAAAACAGAGTGGCAGCCCAGGGGTTTGTGCTGGGCACTGGAGCCGCCTTCCAGCCTTGACACGGGGCTGTTTCCTGCCACAAACCCGTCCTGTTCCCAAATATCCCCTTCCACTGGGGCTGTTGGTGCCCTCGGAAACTGGGGAAGGAAAAGGGTCCCTCAGAAACTGGGGAAGGAAAAGGGCCTTCAGAAATTGGGAAAGAAAGAGG